GATTACAGACGCCTACCACCACACCTGGCTAATTTTGTATTTTTAGTAGACGTGGGTTTCACTATGCTGGCCAGACTGATCTTGAACTCCTGACCTCAGGTGATCTGCCCACCTCGGCCTCCCAAAGTGCTGGGATTAACGGTGTAAGCCACCATGCCTGGCCTCTTTCACATTTTTTGTATCTCTTCTTAACAAGTTCATTTTTATCTCTACTTGCTGAACATATGGAGTGTATTTATAATAGCTGTTTTAATGCCCTTGTCTATTAAATTTAGCATCTGTTTCTACATTTGACTTTTCTCCTTATGAGGTATATTTTCCTATATTCCTATAAATATCCTTAAACTTCGTTCTGGGATACAGTTCTTTGGAAATTAAGTTACTTGGAAACAGTGCTTGCTTTTAAGCTTTGTTAGGGAAGACGAGTGGAATTTAGTCCAGGACTACTTTGCCCTTACTGAAGCAGTATACTCTTTTCATTACTCAACCCAATTCTCCAGCAAGACTTCCTGTTCAATATGAACTATTCCCAGCCCTGTGCAAGCTCCAGAAATTTTTCTGCTTACTTCCTTTTTGGTAATTCTTTCCCTGACTCAAATGGTTTCCTTACACACTGGCACCAATCAGCACCCAGCTGAAGTCTCAAGCAGAGTCCTCTACAGATCTCTGGAGCTCTTTGTGCAGCTGTCTCGTCTCTAGTACATAGTCCTGAGATTCTGGCTGCCTTGGCCTCCCCATATTCCCTACTCAGGAAGCCTATCAAGCTTTGTTTTGGTGACTCTTCAGCTACTACAGCCTGGAAGCTCTCCAGGCAATAAGATGGAGCATTCATAAGGCCCACCTCAATTTGTTTCCCTTCTCTTGGGGGTCAACATCTTGTCTGAAAATTATTCCAATTATTTTGTTTATTTTGTTGTTGTTGTTGTTGTTAATTAAGGTAGGAGGGTAAATCCAGTCCCTGTTACTCCACTATTGTCAGAAGCTCCTGTTACAGTCCTGAGCTACTTATGTTTCATAGGACAAATTAGAACATCTGATAGGCCTGAGATGATGTAATAGTCACAGAGTTTTACTACTCAGTGAGAGTGGAAGTTCTGCCTTTCCTTTTTACTTCCTCATAGAAAAGTTAAGTGGGAAAGAAATGAAAGCACTTAAGAATTACTGGTTTGGCTCTAGGTTAATCCTGCTAACAACCCAGAATTAAAAAGTTCAGTTGATTTTCTTTTTAAAGAGTTGACATTTAAGTTACTTACTATTAAATATGTACATTCCTCAGAACACAGACGCATGTAAGAAAAAAAATAAGTATGCACCTTCCAAACATATTTATAAAAAGAAAATGAATTTTTGCAACCCTAACATAAAATGATATATAACAAGTCTAAATTTCATGAATTCTCTGCTGAAAAAGTCAACTATAAAAAGTCACTTCTTCCCTCAACTTGCAAATTTTTCTTAAAAAGAGACAGGACACTGCAACTTATCTAAAGGGCAATCATGCTGACAGCATTTGGCAATTAAAAAAAAACAACAACAAACTATATGCACTGGCATTTCCACCTACTACATTTATCCAAAATTCAAGAACCTGACATTTAACTTGGCCCAGCAAAGAAACTTTCTTTTTAATGACTTTACTGTAAATTAAACCATATCTCCTCTAATATACTAACATGTTAATAGTTTGTAGGGAAAAACACAAGTGTACAGTTCCCCCATTAGAAAATGCTACCAGTTACACCCTTAACCTTAATGCCTTTCCTTCTTTTCACTCTTCCCCACCCCTGAAAATAACAGCCACGAAATATACAGTAATACAATAATAGCCTCACAACAGCATAAACAATAATTACAGTAAAAAAAAAAATCAAATGGTAGGACTACATCATTGGAGTAGTTATGTTTCCAATCCTCAGTTTCCAAATCTCTTAAATGTGGATAAAAGCAAAATCTGAACTGAATGAAATACAGTGTGTCAAATGCCACACTGTATTTCATTGAACTGTGAACTGAGTGCTGAGATGCCCCACGGCACTACAGCAAACTCCCAGGGAAGCTGCATATTTTAAATAGAAGGAAACACTGAGATTCTCAACATATGTTGGAAACCAGCCAAACTATTAACCTGAGGTGCTTCTGAGTTGTCATATTAGATGGCAGTGCATTCCTTGGATGATATACATTAGTGAAACTGGGTTTTTGCTGGTTGCTGTGATAAATAAAAGCAAGTGTCACTTGAAAATCAGTATGGAACAGGAAATGAGGAGGTCAGTGTTCAATCTGTTCCAAGGTTTGAAAAGCTATTCAGGCCAAGCACAGTGGTTCATGCCTGTAATCCCAGCACTTTGGGAGGCCAAGGTGGGCAGATCACCTGAAGTCAGGAGTTCAAGACCTGGGCAACACAGTGAAACCCTATGTCTACTAAAAATACACAAATTAGCCAGCCATAGTGGCAGGCGCCTGTAATCCCAGCTACTCAGGAGACTGAGGCAGAAGAATTGCTTGAACCTAGGAGGTAGAGGTTGCAGTGAGCCAAGATCACACCATAGCACTCCAGCCTCAGTGACAAGAATGAAACTCCATCTCAGAAGAAAAAAAAAAAAGAAAGAAAAGCAAAAAGAAAAGCTATTCAGTGCTCAACAGGCACACACATCTCATTAGTAAACTGTGGTTATTTATGAAGAAAATAAATTTCCTATTTTTTCTGTATTATTTTTTTCCAAACAGCTGCAAAAGTTGTTGGGACACAAAAATTATTGGACCTAACTATTTAACAAACAGAACTAAGAGGTATTGTTTGTGGCCTAGGGGTGTTGTGAAAAACTTAATGAGATAATAAGGCCGCCATGAAACAATGAACTTTAAAAACCTCTGGCTTAATGTTGTGAATGGCAGAGTAAACTTCCAGTAAATGATAACCATTATTACTTCACTATGATTAGTCCTTTAAACTATGCAGTTTATAGAAAAGAGAGTATATTTCATATTCTGTGATAAAGATCTCAGAATATTGTCTTATATTATGACATAAACTCAGTATTATATATAGTATTATGACTTATGTTGTAAGAAAAAATTAGGTAGACAAAAAATCTCATATGGACAACCTGGAGGAAAACCAGGTCTAGTGATATGGCCTTGCTATTTATAAAAGGCATGATTTGAATCCTAATCTGACTCAAATTACGCTGCTTGAAAAGCCTGAAAATAATCTTACTACTAGACAGATAAAAACAATTCATCCTTACTCCCATGCTAGCATGTAATATGGAAAAGAGCAAAAGCTTTAATTTTAAGAGTTAGGAATCTACAGCACCACCTTACATCCCCATGTTTTACATAGAGATTCGTAACTTGTTTTCAGAATTTTCCTCCATTTCCCATATGCTGACCTTCTCTTTACTCCATCTTCTATTTAGGATATAACTAGAAAATGAATCATTCACTTTACTGAAGCCTGAGATGGGCTGTAAAATAATGATAGCGTGAACTGAATGCATATATGTCAGACTGATGCCCCGTCCTTCCCCTGCGAGTTTTTGTGTACATGTGTATAAACTGTAGAAAGACCAAGAACAATGAATTGTACACAAAGCTGAGAGACATCTTTTATCTCTTAATAAATTGTTTCCAGGAAAAAAGTATGTACTGTTTATACCTTGCTAACCATCACAGTGGCCGCTTAAACTGGTACAGATGCAGCGGACTGCTCACAGAGCTCACTTGCTACACTGAACCACTGCTCCAGAGACATCAAATTGCAATTTAATCAAACATTTGCTGTACAAGTAATTTTCAAAACTGAGTAATGCTAAAAATGGATACACTACTAAAAAACATACTAACTGTTATCTAAGGGTAAGAACATTTTGGAAGGTGTTTTAAATAAATAAATGCAACAGAATAAATCAATAATAAAAGTATTTTCTATTTTAAAAAAGTAATTTTGAAGCAAATTAATAGTACTTATAGGAGTAATAAATAACATTTATCATATACATTTCAAATTGGCATTTCCGAAGAATCTTAACAGTGTGGTCAATAGTTATTGGCATCCAGACACAGAAACCTAAGCACAATTCCATATGATATGAACGGACTATACTCAAAGTGCCACATGAGTATTAGCACTTGGTTCAGCCTGAGGGTTTCAAAGAAAACTACTTAGTAGCCCCATAAAAGACAACATCATTAAAATTCTGAAAACATGGTTATTTTGGATAAAATCTGCAAGCCAAAAAAAAAAAAAAGCAATCCCCTAATCTATCATAGGAAGATAGAAAGGCCTATATAAACTTTGCTCAGTAATGAGCATCACAATCTAATTATATCAGAATATCCAGAGGACTGGAGCTCAGACATCAGTATTTATTTGTAAAAGCTGCCCAGGTGACTATAACACTCATGATGTCGGCACCATGACTGATTTAAGCTTAGAATCCTATCGACATAAAGACAGAGTCTTGAGGCTGCATTAGTGAACACTCGGGTCCCTAAGGGGATCCACGGTCTGAGGCTGTTTTCACTTGCAACCTTTTGGTATGTGCTAATAACATGAAAGATAAAATTTCATGTTTGGTATCTCATGGCACTTTGGCATAAGCCAAGAAAATTAAGTGACTGCTAATCCTCAACACTGTATGCTGACTAAAATGTTTAAATTGCTTAAACTTTACTCTTTAAAGTAAAGCCAGGGTAACTAGAGACCTGAAATTAGGAACTTTTGGTACATAAATACCAAATCCTGCTAGGGTCACTTTCACCACCTATTTTCAAGAAAAACACCTACATATGAGCATTTAGACAATAAAGTCAGCACCTAAGAAGTATGCATCTTGGCTGTGAGCAATGGCTCATGCCTGTAATCCCAACACTTTGGGAGGCTGAGGCAGGTGGATATCTTGAACCCAGGAGTCTTAGATCAGTAGGGCAACATGGGGAAACCCCGTACCAGGTATTGATCGACTTACAACCTATGCAACTTACGACCATTCGACTTTATGACCACAACCGCTAGCCACGACTGCTCCGTGTCTGGCAGCGCAAACGTTGCCCAGCTGGACGTACGACAGTGCGGACCAGCTTCCGGCAGCACTACCATCTCCGCGTGCACCATTTCAACTGTACGTATAGCCTACTCAACTTACGACCAAATCGTGTTACGACCGGTCCGCGGTCCCGACCATGGTGGTAAGTCGGGCACTAGCTGTATTTACAAAAAACACCAAAAAAAATTATTTGGGCATAGTGGTGTGTGCCTGTAGTCCTAGCTACTTGGGAGGCTGAGGCAGGAGGATCAACTGAGCCTGGGAGTTTCAAGGAGTTCAATTACAGTGAGCCATGATCATACCACTGAGCCTGTCAGTCCCACTCAGGTCCTACTCCGGTCTTCCTCCTTCATGAGACTCTGCCCCACCCACTCCAGCTCACCTTTGGCTCTACCTTCTCTTCATTTCTCCACAACTTACTTTGTATCTCAAGGTGCATACTTCCTTTTTATTTTTACTTTTTGAGATGGGCTCAGATTAGAAAGGCAGCACTCCAATCTTGGAGGAAGAAACATTGGTATCACTCCAAACTGAAGGCCAAATTAATTTTAAAAGTCAAATGGCTTAAAAAGGTTTCTTAGCTTTTAAATATTAATATTTTAAGTATTACTGTAAAGTTTAGTAGGAAAGATGATGACACTTCAAGAGATTAGACAACCATTTATATTAGCTTTATGGAAAGAGGCAATATTCCAACTACTTTTTTCTTTTTTTTTCTTTTTTGAGATGGGAGTCTCACTCTGTTGCCCAGGCTGAAGTGCAGTGGAGTGATCTCAGCAAACTGCAACCTCTGCCTTCCAGGTTCAAGCGATTCTCCTGCCTCAGCCTCCTGAATAGCTGGGACTACAAGTGCATGCCACCATGCCCAGCTAATTTTTTTTGTATTTTAAGTAAAGACAAGGTTTCACCATGTTAGCTAGGATGGTCTCGATCTCCTGATCTCATGATTCCCCCAACTTCAGCCTCCCAAAGCGCTGGGATTACAGGTGTGAGCTATCATGCCCAGCCCTGACATATATACTTTTTTTTCTGAATTATCCACAGTATAAATCTAAAGAAAATAGAATAGTTAGGACAATATTTTTATATTCTTTCTCCTCAGAATGCATATTAATGCCAAAATGAACGTTTTAGGGCCTTTTGGTAAAAACAAACCATTATTTGGCATAAAAGATGGCTGCTGGAGGTTTTGGAAATATGGTTATTCTTAGGTTTCCTAACCTTGGAGTAAAGTGCAGCAATAATCCTAAAACTACAGGTAATACACAGTTTGTAGCTGAAAATCTGACTTGCTATTATGAGTAAACACAATTAAAGAAAGATTTAGAATTTATACAAGATTTATAAGTCAGGTAATGTCACCAAAAAGCTTCCCATATGAAAGCAAATGTTTGCCCCACCCACTCCCCGATATTTTAATTAAGAATTCATCGACATAAGAATTACGCTTGTAGCATAAAAATATGTGCAATGGAAATTAATACTGCACCAAGGTATAGTTTGGTTTAAATATTAAAAAAAACTTGAAGCAATTAAGTTCATACTGATTGAGGATAGCCAATATTATTTATACTTATTTCTTAGAAGACCTAGAGCCCCTTCTCCTTCATTCAAAAAATATATGTACCAAATATATATATTTCTTATACACTGTTCTTTGCTTAAAACTTTTCATTATGTCACTATCTTTTTCCCCATCAAGATGCAATTATACTATTTTAGTTAACACTTTAACTGATATTAATACTCTATATGTAAAGAGTGTGGTCTTATGCGCTTCATTTACTGAGGCTGGAGAAAGCTTACTAGTTTAAGGTATTTAAGGGCTTATATTTGTAAGTATGCCTTTCAAATACTGTTTTTAATTTATAAAGATATAATCAGTAAACTAATCCTAACACAGCAAAACCACAATAAAGAACAAGTAATTAACACTTGCAAACCTTTAAAAAATATTATCACATTTGAAATAGCCCCAAACTGGGATTATCTGCCTAAGTCATACATATATATATTAAAAAAACATATATATATACACATATATATATATAAAACATATATAATTATATAAATATATATAAAATCACATACATGTTTTTTTCTTTTTAATTTTTGAAACAGGGCCTCACTGTGTTGCCCAAGCTGGAGTGCAGTGGTGAGATCAAGGCTCACTGCAGTCTCGACCTTCCAGGCTCAATCAATCCGCCCACCTTAGCCTCCTGAGTAGCCGGGACTAAAGGTGTGCACCACGAGGCCAGACTACTTTTTGTACAGAAGGGGCTGTACATGCTGCCTTGACTGGTCTTGAAATCCCCAGCTTAAGCAATCTGGCCACCTTGGTCTCCCAAAGTGCTGGGACTACAAGCATGAGCCCCCACACCTGGCAAATCTTACATTAAGAAACATAGTATTCAAATTAATTTTAATTTCATCCATCTGCCCACAAGATAACTCAAATCTTACTAACCTACCTTTATTGTGTGTGGTACAGTAGTCTTTTTCTTTAAATTAGACTATCAAAATACTTTTTTAAATAATATGAAATCAATCATGTATCTCACATGAAATCCTAGAGGTTGTTTACAATTCCCTTAATGAAAACATAACAGCCATAACATAAATACCCCAAGAATACTGGATAATATTAGATCATATCTACTACTATAACTAACCTACTAGTAAATATGTCAAGCAAGATCTTGTATGGGTTTATGTGATATGATACAAACTGCAACAATATTTATTTGAAAAAAATTTACTTTTAGAAGCAGCAGCAGAACCCAAGAAAGCAAAATCCTGCAACCAAAACCTGCATCTCCCTGCATCCCCTCAACAAAAACCTGTTAACAAAAAGTTTGCAGGAAAATAAGGTTGATTAAAAGGAAATATAAGCATAATCTGCCAGAGGAAATACAGTGAAAGCCCTGTCAGGCTCTTTTCTAAAAAAATGGTTGAATCTGAATTATTTGAAATCAAATCAGAGACCATGACAAGTTGAGTTCTAACAGATGACTTACAGAGCACCGCAACAGCCCCAGACTCGAACATGAGACATTCTTCCTTATGCCTAGTTTCCACTATGAGGCTGAAAGGTGGGGGGTCCAGTTTGTGATAGATCCGGAATCCTTTACTGAACGCCATTCTCCTTTCTTCTGAGGCAGCCCTGTGAAAATCAAGCAAAGCAAAGCAAATGAAGCTGATGTTTCCTTCTGCAGCAAGCACTGCAAAGCATCCAGAAGTCCCTCCCTGCCAGGTTTTGATGGGGGGTTGGGGTAGGGAAAAACAGACAGCTCAGGGAGAAAATGGCTTATTCCAAAAGATAAGTCGTCACTTAATTTTACCAAAAAGCAAGAGGAAAAGCTACCAATTCTCACACCAAGGCAAGACAAGGTTTTAGCACTGTAAGTCCATCAACGGTTTGGTTAAGATGAGTTTCCCGTTTAATTTATGCTTACTGAAAGGAAAATTTTTGAGCGTATTTCGTTCGGAGTTGTTTATCAGCTTCCTGCTTCAAGATCTGTCACTACGTTGAAAGGGAACCGATTCGGAAACTTCAAGTTCCTTCGAGGGGAAAGGAGCGGCGGTGGGTAGGAAGGGTGACAAGGCCGGTTCAAAGCTCCTTAGGGGGCAGGAGGAGGAAAAGGATTATCCTACGCGACAGGCTCTCCTGGGGGTGGCGACGAAGGGCAAGGGAAACCGCACAGGTTACCGCCGCCTCCCCTGCCCCGGGCTACCGCCGGCTAGGGGGACCGCAGGTGGGGCTGAAAAATACGAATGGCCACCCGGGAAGAGTCACGACTCGGGGCACCGACCCGACTCGGGCTCCTCAGGGGTCCCGGGCAGTCGACCGCCCAGGAAAACCGCTCTTTCTCAGACAGACTGAGGACCGGAGCAGCCCAACCCCTCCATTTATGCGCCAGAAGAGCTGCCCCCGCGCCCAGGCGGATTCGGTTCGTTCCCGCGGGCAGGCTGACAGCCGCTGTCACCAAAGCTCCCGGCCCGACGCGGCGCCTGGCACACCCGAGGTCTCCTCACAACCCCGCCCGCCCTCCCGCATCCCGGCCTCTCGAGGTCGCCCCTCACCGCTCCCGCTGAAGCTGCGGCGGCGGAGGCTGGTCTCGGAGACGTCCGCCCGCCCGCCCGGCTGCCGGTGGGTCTGGCCGCGACCGCTCCCCGCCCCCCGCCGGCTTGCTCACCTCTTCCTCCGGCTCCTCCTCCTCCTTCTCCCGCAGCCGCCGCCACAGCCGCCGGAAGCGTCACTTCCTCTCCAGCAGGCCCATCTCTTCCGCATTGCGCATGGGCGGGGACGGAAGATCCGCCCCTTGAGAGGGAAGGGGCGGGGCGTCAGGAGGGAGGCCACGCCCACTCGGGGGCCGACCTGCCAGGCCGAGCACCAGCGGACTGCCGCAACCTCCGCCTCCAACAACCTTCGCCTGCAGCTGCCGCCTCCAGCTGCCGCCTCCAGGCCGCAGCTGCGGATCCCACCGCCGGGGGTGCAGGGAGAGGGAAGATCCGGCCTCCTTGGTCCCCTCGCATGGGCTCTTCAGAGCGTGAGCGCCAGGGAGGGACTCCGGGGAAGAGCTTGGGGGGCTGTGTTTTGCTGCTGCCCAAGCTGGGCGTCAGGACCACCCCCTGCCGCCCTCACGGGCCTGACGGGCAAGGAGGGAGACGGTCGGCTCGCCGAGCCAACCAGGTGGCGCTTGAAGAGCTGTCCATGGTGTCGCCCAGCAAAAGGCACCGAGTTCCTAGTCTCAGCATCTGGGTAGGTAGCAGAAGAAAAACTAATGCTTGCTCTGAAACAGTTCTCTCTTCGGTGCCTTTTCTTGTGTGTTCTGGAGGTCACAGGGTTCTATCGAAGAGTGCTCAGGTGTATTCGGTGGAGAGTGGGAAGTCACAAACCACGATCTCAAGGCTGAGTCCAACAAAACATGGCTGTAGGGAGGCCACAACAGCGACAGCTGTGGTTGCCACTAATGGATGAATACCTTTTGCCTACCGTTGAATTTAGTAACTAAAGGCACCTGTTTTATCTCATCCTTATTTTTCAACAGATCGTGCTTCCTGGCTAATATCAGCGTGTCTCATAGAGTTCTTATTTGTTTCTATTGAGTAGACCTAATAAGAATGAAGTCAAAGCCTACAGAGCAGAAAGCAGTTGAAAACCTGAAGAACCCCCCACTCAAACTGTTTCCACTTGCGTTTGCTTTTTCTTTACCTCTTCCCCTTCTGATTTTTAACAGCCAAGGCAGAATTTAAATTTGGTTATGTTGCAAAAATCATTTCCCCCTTCAGGCCCTGTCATGTGACTTGATTTTTCCATCCATTTTAGAGAAGCTGCATCCACCCTGATTTCAGGACACTGAACTAGTTATAATTTATTAGAAAAGAAGCCACTTCAAGTCATGGAGGAGAAATACAAAGATTCTTGATTTAGTTCTAAGAACTGGAGGGGAATTCTATCTCAGTACTGTCTCAGAAAAGCTGTTGATATCAAATGCATTGCTTGGGAGGTAGCTTTTATGACAACTGAAATCACTCAGTTTCAAGAGAAGCTGGGGCCTGAAACCAGACATGCTTACTCCAAAACCCAAAATCCTTTCCATCATGCCTGTGTGTCTGTAAGGCTACTAGAAACGCTTCCTTTCTTATAGTGGGAAGCGTGGGTACTAAGCTACCAAGCTCTCTTAGGAACAAGTGTTCTGCGTATTCCTGGTCCCTTTTTATTTTGGACTAAGGAGATTTAGGTCAAAATTTCTGGGTTCTGAGTTGGAATTCTTGCTTCTTTCTTCAAATTAAACTGGGGGGAGGAGGGGTGGGTAACAAGACTTGTTAGAAGGCCACAGCTTTTCCACATCTCATTTTAGTCATGAAAAAACACATGCCCAGAGTTTGAAAAACATGAAGTCTATTTTACTAGAGGCGTTTTAATCTTGTCCCTCTTTCCTATTGATACTTCCACTTCTGTTACAGCATTTGACAATAGCTGGAAAAAATTTTCACTGACCTTGAAATGTTTTTGGGGCAGCCTGACTTAAAAATATAGGTTAAGTGGCATACACAAAACTTCTTAGTGAGATCCTAAGGGCCTGCAGAGACAGGCTGACACCAACTCGACCTTTGAAACTGGGCAGTGAAGAGCCTGTGGGAAGCTAAAAAAATGCCACTTCAAAAAAGATATCCTTACATTAATCTCTTGAACTTGAATGTTAATTTAGGCTAATTTGCAGATTTGATTAAGGGGTCTTGAGATTATTTTGGATTATCCAGATGGGCCCTAGGCAATCACAAGTGTCCCTATAATAGGGAGGCAGAGGAAAATTAAACACACAAACACACACACACACTAGAGACAGACAGAGAGAGAAAGAGAGAGGTGATGTGAAGACAACAGCAGAGATTGGAGTAATGTGGCCATAGCCAAGCTATGTCAGCAGCTGTCAGAAGTTGGAAGAGACAAGGAAGCATTCGAGCCTAGAGCCTTTGGAAGGAGCGTGGCCCTGCTGAGTCTGGCCTCCAGAACTGTGAGAAAATACATTTTTGTTGTTTAGACCACCCAGTTCATGGTAATTTGTTACACCAGCTACAAGAAATTAACACAAGGCTGATGTGACTTTCTATCAGGAGAGAGACAGCCTCAGGTAGGTGTTTCAGATATCACATCTAATAGAACAAATTGAAGACACCCTCAATTTTAGGGTTTGTCAAATAACTCGCTGATTTGTGAGTGAGTTATTTCTCCTATGAGCAACTCTACTTGAAATATGCAATTGATTATGTGGAAACATGGAATTGTTATTTTCATAGGAAAAACAACTCACATAGTGGCAATATATAGCCCAACCTAATAGTATGGCTCAGGCAGAGTATATAAGAATTTACTTATTTATAGATGACTAGTGATCATCCCAAACAATGACATTAAAAAACTATATCATGTACATGGCTACAAATTTTGACAGATGTTTACTTTGTGAATTAGTAGTAGCACCTGCTTTTCTCTTGGCTTATTTTGGTCAAAAATGCTAGACAACATGGAAAATCAGGGAAATATTAATAGTCTGATTCAGTAACCTTTAACAGCTTTTCAGGTTACACAGGCTTTTATATCAAGATCAGGATCTGCAGAGCAATTAATATAGTGCTCTGCAGATCCTGATCCTGATATAGTATAGTATAGCAGGATCTGCAGACCCTGGTTGTACCTGGCCATGTTCCCCACTAATGACTGTGAAAGAAATGGCTCACTGTTTAAGAGAAAATAGGCTAGGTTTGGTGGCTCACGCTTGTAATCCCAGCACTTTGGGAGGCTGAGGTGGGTGGATCACAAGGTCAGGAGTTCAAAACCAGCTTGGCCAAGATGGTGAAACCTCATCTCTACTAAAACTACAAAAATTAGCTGGGAGCAGTAGCAGGTGCCTGTAATCCCAGCTACTCCGGAGGCTGAGGCAGGAGAATTGCTTAAACCCGGGTGGCAGAGATTGCAGTGAGCCAAGATCTCGCCACTGTACTCCAGTCTGGACGGCAGAGATTCTGTCTCAAAAAAAGAAAAAAAAAAAAAAAAAAAAAAGAGAAAACTGGTCTTGAAAGGCAACACAACAGTAGGTTACAAACAGCATTGGCTTTTTCTTTAAAGAAATTCATTGTAACCAGTGAAGATTTTAAATTAGAAAAATGGAAATCCTATGAATAAAAAACTAGTAAGCTTGAGAGGAGAATCCCTGTGGAAAAAAGAAAAAAACAGACTGAAAAATAACTTGCAGATACCATAGGCAGGAAATTGCCACTAGAGCAAACAGGAAACTTGTGATAAATAAAAATGAAGTGTTTTCATTTGGAACAAGAGACCAACTGAAGAGAGATCAAATGAAGGGGGTTTATTTTAATGACACACAGGGATTCTCGTGGAAATCAAAGTGCCAGAGCCAGAAACAGGGCTCAACCTTCAAGATTAGAGCTGGGGGATGTTCATTGTTCCAGTTGGCTCTGGGTCCCAAAGCAACAGCAATTTCACTAAGGTTACACATAAAAGATAAGCTTTCATGATCAAAATGTTTTTGCAAAGTAGCTTAAAATGATTTCTGCAGTATTCTCTCAACACTTTTCTCGTACATTTTCCTAAAGATATTTAACAAGAGCCTAAGGAGTCATGTGCTAGGGAGTCTCATTGTACTGAATCACTGTATCCTTTAAGCCTCTGCTGGAGTTAGGACTGACAGGAAGGGAACACAAATTACTAGGGGCTGAAGTCCAGAAGCAGGCCAGGAGCCAGTCTACATTGCACATCGATTGCAATCCCACATAACAAAATTCAGCCTGTGTTTGGGTGGTCTGACGCAGCTCTTAGCAGCTGTGAACCCGGTATCCACAGACAGTTTCAGTTCTGGAGGGGAGTCTTCAACGTTTATGGAAAATACATAACCTCCCAAACTTTCAGATACATTTAATTGTTCTTCCTACATGTAGTGCTGTTTTTCTCATTTTCATTTACTTGAAACAACAGATCAGATGTTTTGTCATAATCAGTGAATGGCAAGGCTCTCTTTATTTCACAGGTATTAATTACCATGTTAGAGATGAGAAGAGCTCTTGTAACCATAAACAACCACTACAATGTAGTAACTATTGTATACTGCAGCTCTGTAACATTTGACCATTTTTATAAGGGTTTCATGATTCCAGAATGATCATTAGCATTTTCAATATTTTGGCCAAGTCTGGGTGCTGGTTAATGTTACCACTGCAGGCAACTGTGGCTCTACTCAACTGAAGACCTCTTGTAGGCAATGTGGACCATACCTGTTGTGGCTGGCCCTGCTGAAACTTTAGAACTGCACTAATGTTTAAGATCATCCTTCCCTCCTTCCTCACATAGGTCAGGCCTGCCTGCCTTGTTGTCTGACAGCTTTCCCAGCCGCCTGCAGGCTCCCCTCCATTTTCTCTTATATGCATTCCCCCGCCAATAAACTTCTTGGACATTTAATGCCATCTCAGTGTCTGCTCCCAGGAGGACCCTGACTGACACACTGGATCATTTAACCTCCAATTCCTTTCCTCCCTTGGCTGAGGTCTGTTCCAAGAAATATCTCAAGGACACTCCAGCCTGTTGCACAGGCCAAGGAAAACCCCTCAGGCAGAGGAGCAGGTGCTTGCAAGAGGACACCAGTGGCAAGAACAGGGACATGGTGAGACATTGACATCATTGGCTACAGTAGTACTAATCACTCTTTTGACTGTGGTTTATGTTGTTTCAATAAAGTTGCCTTCCTTTTTGTCACTTGTTTTGCAGTTAATCTCAGAGGATTGGTCCAGAAGAAAGAAACTGAAAAGCAAAACCAGTTTTATTAAAACGTAACCCTCTGGATTTTCTTTTCAGAATTCCTTTCATAAGAAATATCCTTAGGCTATTTCAGAAATAAAAATGTTCTGACTGAGATAGAAAAACCACTGGTTTTATGTAGCTTACATCAAATTCCTACTGTGATGTTCAAACCCATTTCTAAAACCAATACAGCCTGACAGATTTCATAGGATAAAAAGTCTGAGTTTAAGAGTTCTTAAAAGCAGAGCAACTAGTCTAATGAGTTTGGATTTAACATGCAGTTTGAGGCCCAAATGATCTGCATGTGATACATATACATGTTTATATGTTTTATTCTATTTAAGATGAGAATAGGTGTTCTGACTTTAATTGTACTTAGTAGTCCAGTAAGGTGTAACAAAAAAATTCATCCAGAATGAATGCTGATTTGGTTTGGCTCTGTGTCCCCATCCAAATCTCACCTTGGATTGTTAATAATCCCCACATGTCAAGGGTGGGACCAGGTGCAGATAACTGAATGGGGTGGGGGCGGTTTCCACCATGGTGTTCTCCTGATAGTGACTTCTCACTAAATCTCATGGTTTTATAAGGGGCTTCCCGCTTCCCTCAGCACTCATTCTGTCTCCTGCTACCCTGTGAAGAGGTGCCTTCCGTCATGACTGTAAGTTTCCTGAGGCCTCCCCAGCTATGCAGAACTGAGTCAATTAAACCTCTTTATAAATTACCTAGTATCAGGTATGTCCTTATAACAGCTTCTCATCCTTACATATTATAAATTACCTAGTCTCGGGTATGTCCTTATAACAGCTGTTAGGCAACTGTGGCTCTACTCTCCTTATAACAGCTGTTATAAGGACATACCCGACTGTTATAAGAACATACCCAAGACTAGGTAATTTATAATATGTAAGGATGAGATAAAATCGACAGAACAAATGGAGGGCATGACACTGTTCTACATATTATGTCCTG